AAAAAATTAGAATAAATATTTGTGCTACTGCATTTCTTTGGATGGATGTTTTATTTCACAGTTGCAACTGGCAACCTATGGATCGAATACCTGCAGAAATTGTGTATGTTGTTTGATAAGAACTCATCCATGCCTCCCACTACCTTGACAATTCTGCCCTGTGAATTGAGTATAAAAATGAGTGTTGGCTTTCATACATTTTGTAAATTCGTATTTCCAAACTTTCTATTCTAGTCAAGAGGGAGTAAAAGGGGGTAGAGATTCTTCTCACATGAAAAATCAAAAAATGAACAGAATATATCAAACAATGGTTTTCAATATACTGAAGATCTGCCAATGAACAACAGTGATCCCAAGGAGATACAAAACTAATAAGGTGAGTCTCGTGATTACTTCAGCTTACTGGCTTGAGGGAGTTTACAGGCCACTGTGCAAGAGGAAGGAACCCGGGTGGAGTCCTTTGGACTCTGAGTTAAAAAGAGCTGAAAATCTGAGAAGAACAAGGCAGCTACAGATTACAGGGCAAAAAGAAGGGAGTTGAACAGAAGGAAAACTCCAGCAATTGCAGAGAGTTCCTCTTGAACAATCAGCTGAGTAATGATAAATGCATGTGATAAAAATACCCAAGGCCAGGTTAAGAGCCACTGAAAGGGATTACATATAATAGTATGTTATATGTACTACCCAAAGCCAGAAACTACCCAAAACACTACCCAAAGCCAGAAACAGTGCTTGTCTCTACGGGGCTGACTAGAAAACATTATAATTCATGAGTCAGTAGACACAGCACACAGAAGAATCTTGTTTCAGTATAGAGGAATAATTAGCCTGAAGTTGAACACTGTTTCATTCCCACTTAACAAAATTCAAAAGCGAGATCCAAAGAACCAAACTATTTCTGTGTAACTTAACTGTATCCTAGAACAAAGCTCAAGAATACTTATAGGATGCCAAAAATATTAAGCAACCATCAAGGTAATATTTACAATGTCTGTCATCCAATATAAAGTTACTAGGCATAGAATAGAAAAATATGACAGATAATGAAAAATTTATTAATCAAAACTTACCAAGAGGAAACACAGATGTTAGAATTGGCAGTCAAGGACAACAAAACAATTATTATAAGTTTTGCATGCATTTGAAAAGTTAAGTAGAAAAAGATAATGTCAAGAGAATGAGAAAACAAGCCATAGATGAGAAGAAAATATTCTCAAAAGGCTCATGTGATGTAGGACTGTTACCCAAAATATTCAAAGAATTCTTAAAACTCAACCGTGAGAAAACAACCTGATTAAAAATGGGCCAAAAACCTTAACAGACATCTCACCAAACTAGATATACAGATGGTAAATAAGCATATGAAAAGATGCTCCACATCATTTGTCATCAGGGAAATAAAACAACAGGAGCTACCACTACATGGCTATTAGAATGCCAAAATCCAGAACACTGTCAACACCTGATGCTAGAGAAGATATGCAGCAATATGAACACCTATTCATAGCTGGTGAGAATGCAAAATGATACAGCCACTTTGGAAGATACTTTAAACAGTTTCTATAAAACTGAAAATATTCTTACTAAATGACTCAGCAATCATGCTTCTCAGCACACACCCAAAGGAGCTGAAAACTTATGTCCACACAAAAACCTGCATATGAATGTTTATAGCATCTTTATTAATAATTGCCAAAGGGTGGAAGCAACCGAGGTGTCCTTCGGCAGGTGAATGAATAAACTGTGATAAATCCAGACAACAGAATATTTATTATTTAGTGCTAAAAAGAAATAAGCTATCAAAGACGTGGAGGGAACTTAAATGCATATTACATAGAGAAAGTGGGAGAAAGGGAGAGAAAGGAAGAGAGAAATAGGGAGATGAAAAAAACACAGGTCATTAGTGGGCTGTGAGACACCTTCAAGAGGCCTAATATATGTACACATGGAGTCTCCAAAAGGTAGAAGCAGAAGAAATGTTTAAAGAAATAATGGCCAAAAGTTTTCCAAATCTAAAGAAAACTGCAGATCTAGAGTCTCAATCAACTCAACAAACCCTAAGCACCAGTAACACACAAAAAACTGTACCATGTAACACCATAATCAAATCATGTGAATGAGTAAAGAAACAAAATCTTAAAAAGCAAGTAGAGGAGGAAAAAAGACATGTACAGAGGAACAAAACTGAGGACAACACATTTCTCATTGAAAATAAGAAACAATGCAAACACAGACACTGAAGTAATATCTTCAATAAACCTACAGCTAACGTCATAGTTATTCAAGAATGTTTTCCATCTAATATTGGGAACAAGGCCAGGATGCCTGCTCTTATCACTTTGACTTGGCATTATACTGGAAGTCTTAGCTAGGGCAATAAAATAATCAAAATTATATTAAGCTTTTCTTTTTGTGTGTGAAAAATGATAAATTGATTCTAAAATTCACATGAAAATAATTCAAAGGTTCTAAAACAGCTAAAATAATTTTGAAAAAGAGAAAACGTTGGAGGAGTAATAATACCTGATTTTGAGATTTATAAAGTAAAGCTATAGTAATTAAGACTGTGTTTTACTGGTATACAGCTGGATAAACAGATCAATGGAACAGAATAGATAATTCAGAAATAGATTCACACAGACATAGAGAGCTGAATTGCATTAAATGTGCAAAAGCAGTTTAGTAAAGAAAAGAAGCTGCTTTCGAAAAATGGTGCAGGAACCATGGATATTTATATACAAAATAACAAACTTGGGTCTATAACTTATACTACAAATTACCTCATAATATATCATAGACCTAAATGTAAACCATAAAACTTATACAAATACAAAAAATAATAAAAATGGGTAAAATATTCGAAGACACTTAAATAAAAAAGATAAAGGATGGCACATATGCACACGAAAAGATGCTTGAAGTCATTAGTCATTAGGGAAATGCAAAATAATATCACTACAACATACCACTACATATGTATTTGAATGGCTAAAATTTAAAAAACTGGCCTTATCAAGTGTTGGAAGGATGTGTATCACCTAGAAATTCCATACATTGGTGGTGATTATGTAAAATGGTACAACCACTTGGGAAAAGTGTCTTAAAAATTAAACATATTTCTTATATGTGTTTCAGCTACTTCACTCTTAGGTATTTATTCAAGAGAAATGTAAACATATGTCTATGCAAACATGTATATACAAGTGCTCCTAACAGCTTTAATTTGAATAGCTGAAAACTGGAAACTAAGTATCTATTAAGAGTTGAATACTACCTAGCAATAAAAAGAAGTGACCTATTGTTAAACCATACAATATGGATGGATCTAAAAATAACTGCTGAGTGAGTGGAACTACACAAAAGAAGAATGTACACTGTATGATCTATTTGTATAAAATTCTAGAAAATAAAAAATATATAACATAATAAAGCAGATAAATGATTGCCTTGGATTGGCGAGGAGTTAGAAAGGATAGCTTCAATGGGTCATTTAGAACAGGAGTCCCTAACCCCTGGGCCGCAAACTAGTACTGGTTCATGGGCTATTTGGAACTGGGCAGAACAGCTGGAGGCGAGCAGCAGAAGAGCGAGCAAAGCTTCACCTGTATTTGCAGCAGCTCTCCAGTGCTAGCATCACCATCTCAGCTCTACTTCAGATCATAAGGCACTACATTTTCATAGGACCACTGGTCTGTGGTGACAAAAAGGTTGGGGACTGCTGAGTTAGAACCTTTCTGGAGTAATGGGTATGCTCAGTATCTTGTCTGTGGTGGTGGTTTCATGGAGGTATACATATATAAATACGTAAAACATTGTACACTTTAAATATGTTATGATTTGTCAGTTTCACCTTAATAAAGCTAACTTTAAACTTTCAAATTTCCAACTTCTGAGAAACTGGAAGCTCCAGCAGCACTGTATCTATATGACTGCATGGCAAGAGAAGCTCTTTTCCAAGAGTCACTTGCTGTCAAGTTTGTTATGGTCCCCGTCCCTCCCTTTTGTTACCCTTATCCCGTTTTATTCTTTTACTTGACTGCCTTAGAATTTGAATTCATGGCTATTGATTAATATCTTCTCTTTTATAAACAAATAAATATTAAAATAGTTTCTTACATCAGTCTAAAGGGAGAAATTGTCTAAATTCCTTAACTCATTCTATGGTATCCTCTGTTATTTGGTCCCAACTGATTAGCCAAACCTATTTCTTAACACTCTCTTCATCAGCCTATATACACAAAAAGCTCTATATTTTTTACACACTTTTGCCCACACTCCCAAACATGCTGTATGTGTTTGGTTTGCTTACTTAGCATGTTAATGAGATCTATGTTTAAACCATCGCAAAGAGAGAAGGAAAGAAAGGAAAAAGGACTGCCTTTAAATTCATGGTTAGGGATTTTTGTTTCTACCAAACGATCACTGGAAGTCATTTTATATCTCTTCAAGGAGTCATAGACAAAAAAGAACCCTTGGCAAAAAAAAAAAAAAAGAAAAAAGAAAAAAAAGATTTCTTGCTGTTTGGTGCAAAATAGAAGTTGTTTAAAAATAAGTAATTTCGTAGAAAATGAGAGGTCATAAAGTTAGATCAACCATTTCATCATTATAGGCTGGTGTAGATATGATGGGCCAGGTGATACCCAAAGCCTTCCTATTGTCTTTAGTCCTCAGATGTCAAGATATTGCTGATTCGAGCCTTTAAAGTCCTAATATGTTCGGTTAACGCAAGCTGCAGACCGGGTTGTAATCTTTTTTTTTTCTGTAAAGTCACCCAAACCATGCCACCTTTTTTTTTTTCTTTAAATATTCTTTGTATTCACTTGCTTCAAAAGTTGAATAAGTATTATGAGAATACTGAGTTTATAACATTAGTTTCATTTTTTGTAATTTGTGCAGATACTATTAAAATGAGATAATCATTGCTTTATATTTTGCATGTCTGTCTGAAATTTATATTCAAATATTTTAATATTTGCAATAGTTTCACATTGTGTACTTACAAATAAAACTTCTCATCCCATACTGGATTCAAGTTTCCAAAAATGGTTTTAGTTCTCCTTTTGTTCTTTCCAACTTGAACTGTAACATATGGGTCACTCGACCCTGTTTTGTCTTTTGCCTGTAAGCCTTGGGCAGAAACCACTGAAATAACATAAACAAACATTTTAACATGAAGATTTCCTCAAACAGAAAATGATAATTTAAAAAAACCATTTTCTACCACTTTGTCTCTGGTTTTGCAGATGCATCCCCATTGCTTTCATTCTCATGAACAACATGACTTTAAAAAAATGTTCAGTCTATGGCCACGCCACCCTGAACAAGCCCAATCTTGTCTGATCTTGGAAACTAAGCAGGGTCGGGCCTGGTTAGTACTTGGATGGGAGACCACTTAGGAAGACCAGGTGCTATAGGTGTAAAAAATAAAAAAAATGGGATTGTAAGATGACACATTCCTTGCAATCTGTGAGGTCAACCAAGGGTTGCCTTGAAAAAAAAATGTTCAATAAAATAATTAATATACTGAACATTAAAACCTTCCTTTTAACTAATACGCTTTTGCCTGTTATGAATAGCTACATAGATATAAACATGCATATACATATTAGTTATATACTCATATATAAACTACTAAATATATGTATAGAGAAATAAGGATATACATGCAATATGCAAAAAGTTACCCAATGTAATTCAAAGACCTGTTATTTAACATTTATTTATAATTTCGCTGTCAGTACTGATCAACTGAACCCAGTAAAAGAAGCATCTTTATTTTACGTTGTAAATATAATATCAGTACATTTAGAGGCTTGGTAAACCTTCACATGATACATAGGCACTTACTATTAATATTGCAAGCGGCTTTAGAAGTTCAAATTACTAAACATCACCAAACTCAACTATCTTGACTCAGAAATCAAATGAAAGAGGGATATTGATCTAGGAGTAAGTAAAACAATATTTGTTTTCGTATTAAAAAAAAAAAACTGACTGAGGAGATTATTGGCTACTCTTATAAATTAATGTCAGGCAGCAACAAAGCTAATCTCTTGTAAACTGCAGGATATTGATGACTATATTGTAAAACAGAAAATTTCTCCTCTGGGAGAGTTTATGATTAGAACAAGGCACAGATCTGATTAAAACAATACAAAGAGAGTAAGAAATTGCTCCAGTAATCTAGCATATATTTTATAAATTCAAAGCACCAACTCAACTTTTTGTCAATATTGACAAAACTGAAAATTCTACTTATTTTACCTACAATTATTTTTAGCAGTGATTTTTAAGGCACATAAAAATCTCAATGTGGGATAAAACTTTAAAAGACAACTTATTTTTACCTGTAATGGTTATTTTTGCTGACCACTTAGATGTCCCGTCTAGTACACTCTGTTTGGCTGCCTTTGTGTACTGTACAAAATCTTCTTTAGAAATCTGAAACATTTCTTGAATTACTTCAAACACCTCTGGCCTGTTTTTCTCCCTGATCTTCATTCTTTCTTTCATAGCTGTAATAATGGTCTGAGTCTTGTCTTCAGCACCATGCTTAGAACTCTTTTCTGCTGCTCCTATAATAGAAAAATCAGTGATGGTGTAAATGTAGGTGCAGTTACTTTTTGGTGACTCAAGAGAGGGAGAAAAGAGCAGGAATAAGAGAATGAATGAATGCTTTCATTCTGAGGAGTCAGAGTGGCTTTTTGGAAAATATCAGGAGGACAAGTCACTATGCTAAGATTCAGAAAAACCAGTCCTTGTATTATTGGCAAATAACTGAACCTCAATGGTCCCCAGTTTTTTCACTTATATTACTGGACTAAGCCAGGGATTATGCAAATATTTGGTTTGAATTTTCAAAAACAAATTTCAACACGACAAAAAGAATGAACACAATCAAATGTGTTATGTACCACACTATTCTATGGATAACCAAATTAAATTTGAGAAGTAGTTTGGATATATATGGCAAATGTCACTTGAAAATCAATATTTCAAATATGTGTGTTCAACCAAAGTGTCTAATTATATTTATTGATGGATTTATGATTAAATGATTAATTTTTGGTACAATAAATACCACAATTTGTTATGTTTTGAAATATAGAGAAAAATTTTACTTGGAATAAAAGTGAGTCTGCTGTTTAAAACATTTGAAAGCCACTAGGCTAGATGATCTCTCAAGTATCTGATAGACCACAGACTTAACTCTCATTCTATAATACAGCCAGTTTTGAAGAGGCTGAATTCTCACTTTCCACTCAAAATCCTTTTCTATTTCTAGAACATTGCTTTTTATGATTGGTCTCAATTTTCTGGGGATTTTTGTTTATAATATAAATCTTCCTGGCAGTGAAAGATTTCCAAAAGTCCATTCTTGGGTCCTTCACTTTCTCCAACTACCAGCAAGGCATTCTTGATGCCCTGTCTGACCTCCGGGTTGCCCAATATTACACAATAGTGAACCATGATTACAACTTTCATGGTTCCTTAGTGAGTCTGAAGTGAGAAAGCAAAAGACCATGTACTAGTGTTTACAGAAATCAGCACTGCTGAAAGCAAACAAATTTTGGCACAGAAGCACCTGAATGTAGCAAAAAGAATTATAAAAACTTGTATTCATAGCTAGTTACTGTTTCAATATTCATCTACATGACTATTGCCCAACTTGTCTTGCTGTTTTGAAATATTATATTTCTGAAAATAGGCATACTTATATCTCATAAAATGTTTAGAGATTAAATGACATAATTTATTTATACAACTCCTATGATAAAGGATAGGCAGCCTCAGTAAAGTTCTTTGAATCTAATTCTGTGAATCTTAAGCCAATTTAAATATAGAAGCTAAGACAAAAGACAGAAGGTCAACTATTAACTTTCCTTTCTGTACATTCATATACAACTTGACAGCAGTAATTTAGTGAAAATCTTATTTGAAAGTATGACATTTGTTTCCTAAAGTGGAAAAAAATACATTTATAATAATCAAGGTGTAATTACAGGAAGAGATGGATATTCTAATGGCAGAAAGAGCAGATTCCCTGTTTTCATCTTTTTTTAAAAAAAACCTTTGAGGACAAATTACATTTTTTAAAAATGATACTAAAAATTAATGCATTCTACTTAAGATAATTTGCCATTCTAAATGCTCTAGTCATCTGTTAAAACATGCCCTGGAATAGCTACACATTTGTACATTATGTACTCAAGCAATTAAACATGTTTGTAATTTATCAATAATGACTTAACTCCACAGTACATAATTCTTACAAGGCAACATCAGCTTAAGCTAGACTAAGTACTAGTTGCAGCTATTCAATAGGCAGATTTTACTGCAAGTATTGGAATATTCATTAAATATTCTTTTAAAGAATTAGGAAAGCATGACAATTTGCTTTGAAATATTTTACTAATGCTCTTGATGTTGGAGTAAAAGATCTCTAACTTGTACAGAAAACAGACCCATAAATTGATATTGTCAATCTCAAGGAGTAGATTAATGGAGACTTATGTTTAAGCCCTTTATCTGTTATTTCTATAAAAGATATGTAACTTTTTAAGTTTACTTTTACATTTTTGATCTGAAGAAAATAATTCAACTTAGATTTGTTTAGTTCAGAGATACAGAGACAAATTCATAATTAACTTTTGTCACTGATCTGCAAGTACTTTTCATTGCCCTATTGGGTATCAAACCCACATATCTCACTTTATGTTTTGAAATAAAATTATCTCTTAAATAATTATAATTCATCATTGTTTCCAGCACTCTGGGTTTATTATTTTTCTTCAGGCTTATTCTGTTTATCTCAAAGTTATTAGAGATAAACTTATATTTGCATTTATATGAGTCTTCCTTCAACATGTCTGATAGAAGTTCTAGCAGCTTCATTGAAATAGAGAAATATGTCAGAGATCGAAAAGAAATTAAATCAAAAGAGATAATGTATAGTGAAAGCACTTTGTAAAGTATAATACATTATACAAATGAAATGCATCATTGTTATTTTTAAAAACACTCAATGGACAGATCAGTCAATACAATTATGCACAACAAAACTGCAAGAGGCAAACTTATCCCACATGGTTTTTGTCTACGTAATTTAATGAGACAGCCAATTAATCAGAACCCTTTTTCTTTAATTTTTATTTATTATCCAAAATATATAAATGCCATGTGAAACTCACAATTTTACCACCTTTATACGGTGATTTACAATTTCAGTGTTTCTTTCAATTATCTATATATGTATAATTACTACAATATTCTCCCTTCATCTCAGTCTCTTCTCTTTCCTTTTTTCTCAATGGCTATTCCAAAACATTTCTACTCTCTCCAAGTCACCTACCCTCCCTACCCTCCATTCTCAGCATAAGATCTTATCTCTTCCTTAACAGAAACAGAGGCTTTCTAAACTCGGTGGTCACATTTTCTCCTCTTCTCTACAGAAAACGACAACAACGACAACAACAAAACCCGATTTGTAGCATTAGCAGATTTCTATGGTGTAAATATGCTAATGCTGATTTCAAGCAACTGCCTAGCAAAATTCTTGGATATTTATCAACCACTGACACAGCTACCTGAATGTATGTATATCATACATATGCTAGCCTGTAAGGCCAACTTTAATTAACTGTGTTTTGCAAGTATCTAGCATACTGTTTGGAAAATAAGATACACACAATAAACAGAGTAGACAAAATATTTCTGAAGGCAACTAAAATAAAATGATTACTATATTTGAGTATTTAATTTGGCTCTGAATTTAATGTGTTAGGAACTTCTTGCATACTCTGACCATAAGGCCATAATTCTAGAAGAAACAAGAATTCAACGTTAAATGATAAACGTGCCATGGAATACATCTTATTATGGTATAAAATACACCTGGCCCTTGGCTTCAGATCTAGAATTTTTCCAGAAACAAACTCTGTGTGCCCAATCATTAGAAAGCAGGATTTGGTTGGCCTACCTCATGCACTTAATAGCATAAAACAAGGGCACAAGTCGAAATATAAATGGAAGAAATATATCCAAAAAAATCATTTTTAAATGAAGCAAAAGAAAATAGTGGTTCATAATGCTTTGGGCATAGAAGGAGACAGTCTTGAATATAAATCCAGATTTGCCACTTAGTAACCATTTGAAATTGGGCTAGTTACTTTATCTTTTTAAGCCTTAGTTTCTTCACCTAAAAAAAAAAAAAAAAACAAAAGGAAATATAGTAGTGCTTTCCTTAACAGGGTCACTGTAAGAATTAAATGAGATAATGAATATAGTTTCAAAACTAATAATTGAACAAGTATAAGAATTTCATAATGTCAGAAAGGTTGAAGATATAAGCATTTATTAAAGAATTTCACATTAACAAGAAATTTTAAGGTTTGGAGCTTCATGATTAAGTGACTGTGAAGGAACTCCTTGAAAAGGACAGTGCCTCACCCAAAACCTACTGTGTGCTAACTGCTCTACAACTATTTGGTAATTGGGAGTCAGTAAAGTGCTTGAAGATCAAAGAAAATAGAGTTCTAAGAAACTTGAAGAAATAATATTATTTATTATAATATTAAATATTATTGATATTATAAATAATATTAATATTTATTAATATTAACACAACAAATAGAAAAATAATTATTATTATGCATCAATAAATTCTTACCTGCATTTGAGGCTGGTGAATCCAAAGGAGGTAGGTGATTAACATGCATGGAAAGCAGGAAGAGGGTCTGATTGAGGCATTTCTCTCTCAAGCAGTCTCTAACATGAAAACTTTATTGCTTTTTTCTTTCCCAGTAAAATCATGTAGGTGGGCCTGCTCTGGGTGCCTCTCTCTTTCTCTTTCCCACAAAACCATGTAGGTGGCATGTCATTGGCATCTCCTACCCTTTCCTTTGGTTGCTTTACATCCAAGATTTTCTTAACCCTCCTCTTTTAACATGCCTTCACTCTTTTCAAGAAATAGACTCGCATCTCCCCCAGTTTTCAAGTTGGCTGCCTCCTTTTTCTTGTAAAATCAAAGCCACACACTCCACATGATTTCTCACAAGCAACAAGGGACTGATGTTTAACACAAAGATAACTGGAAGAACACAGATTTAGCATAGCATTATCCCCCACTCTCGTAGGTGGCTCCATCACTGATGTCGGGGGAGGTGGGTGTGTAGCCCTCTTTCAAGAAACTGCCACTTTCTATAGGGACTTCACTGTCACTGAACTTGGATCCAAAAACAAAAACAATATTTCCTCCCCCTCCACCTATATTTCCACCACTCCCACCATCTGCAATCATCAGGCCTATTATTTGTAAATGTAAACTTTCAGAACAAGTTTGGAAACATTTGCATATTAAACGACAAAATCAGGAATGTATTTCACAACTGTCTGTCAAAGCTACTACGTCTTAGGAGCATTATTTAGACACTGGCTTTCTTGAGATTACCCAATCATTTCAGAGTCAAAAACTATATTAACTAAGGGAACAAATTAATTATAAAAAAAATTACATACAATTTCCAAAATGTTTTTTTACTATGTAAGGAAAAAGAAAAAGTAAGGAAGAGATGGA